TTCAATCCAGATTTAGTAATTATTCCTGAGGATTTTATCTCAAGGTCAGATATCATTATAAATTAGCCATTAAAGACCACCAAAAGAATACAATAATTAGTTATGTTGTAGAGTTAAAAAAATATCCACCCACAGAAAGAATTTAAAAACAAAAGCTTCTGTTCTAAAGTTATATAAATGTCCCTAGCTGGTTTGGCTCACTGGATAGAGCATCAATCAGCCTGTGGATGGGAAGGTCCCCAGTTTGATTCTGGTCAAGGGCACATGCCTGGGATGTGGGCTCAATCCCCAGTAGAGGGCGTGCAGGAGGCAGCTGATCAATGATTCTCATCATTGATGTCTCTCTCTCCCTCTCCCTTCCTCTCTGAAATCAACAAAAATATATACAACAGTAAAAAAGAATCTCTTAGCCTTTGAGACAGCATGGAGGGATCTGAAGAGTATCATGCTAAGTGAAATAAGTCAGTCAGAGAAAGACAAGTATCACATGATCGCAATCATATGTGGAATCTAAGTAACAACATAAACTGATGAACAGAGTGGATCTGGAGACATGGAAGCATGAACATAGTGCGGAATCTCCGAGGGAAGGCGGGGGAGGGAGGGTGGGTGGGTGGGAGGAAATCAACCAAGGACCTTGCATGCATATATGCATAACCCCTGGACACAGACAATAGGTGCTGAAGGCCTGGGGTGGGAGGGGTGGACTGGAGGGGGTCAAAGGGGGGAAAAAGGGGACATACGTCATACTTTCAACAATAAAGAATTATTTTTTTTTAATCAATAAAAATATATTTTTTTAAAAAGTTATAGAAATGCACACTTGTGGTTTAGGATTTTTCAAAAAAATTTAATGACTTCACACTAATTCAAAAGAACTGAATCTTAAATAATTTAGGTGGAACTGAAGATAATATGTATGCTATGGAGATCTAATTCTTTACAATTAAACACTGACTCCTGTCAACTTTGCCTAATAACCTACAGACTAATATCCAAATATTAACAAATGGCCTAACACGACTTAATAACTAGTCCCCTCCATTTTTGGACCAGACCCTTAAACTACTTTTGGATTAGTGTGTTTGTTATGCTGTTTCCAACATGAATTTGTAATGCTTTCCCCCCACAACACTCATTTGAAAAGCCTATTACTTACCCAATGTACAATTTAAAATTACCTGCAGATTTTTCAAGGAGTATCTGAGGACATGAGAGTTTTCAGAGAATCAATTTCCTGATACTCAAATTCCATGTATAAACATTTCTAAAAATGATTGTCTGAAAAGGTTGAGGCTTTTTTCTCCTCTCCCTTTATCACTGTCTTCCACTTTCAAAAGAAAGGTATTTCCATGACCCAATTTTACACCTTGCGGTACCCCAAGGTGTAAAAACTTCTGGGGCCCCAAATGAGAGACAACCAGATACTCCCTTTAGTAAAGGCATAATGAACACACAAATCCATTGCTTGAAAAACTATACTTCCAATAAAATTTTAACTTTTTGCTTAGTAATTCCTTATCAAAATTAAAAATATATATTGAAAAATATGTATATATATTTAATTGCATACTAATAATTGCAATGTTAAGTCAATCCAGATGAACTTTTAACACACAGAGCCTTACAATCACAAATAATATCAATTCAAATGTGTTTTTACAAAAAAAGGGTGATCAATCCAATTTTCAAGCTTAAAATAAAAGTCAGTATTTATAATATGGCCAGAAATTAAATCCTTTATATTTATTTAAACTTATGATAAAAACTTTTAGGTACCAATTTAAAAATACACAGAAGAGTAATCAGATTTCTATTTTAGAAATATCATTGGCAACAATGTGGAGAATAAACTAGAGAGAGGCCACTTGGGAGACCTGTTATAGTCCAGACCAGAAGGTATCAGGGCCCAAACTAAGGAAACGGAATGGTAAACATAGAACAGATCCAAGATATGGTGAACATGCAAAATCAGTGGGGAAAGAGAGGTTAGAGTCAAGATATTATAAGGAAACTTTCTGGATGTGTAACTTGAGGAAAATGGAGAAATTTTGATTAGCTCAGCTTTCTGGCTGGGCAGACTAGTTTAAAATAATGGAACCACTGCCAAAATAGGTAATATAGCAGGTTTAGGGAAAAAGTCAGTTCAGTTTAGGTATTTGAGTTTGAGATGCCTGTGGCACTGACCATCTGGATAAAGATACTCATACAACTTTTATGACTGGATGTAACAGTCCTGGGAAAGGAAGGTTGCAGGTGGCAGTGGAAGAAGCCCTGGTGAAGACTCTGATCATCAATGGGAGTGGATAGAAGGAGAAAGGGGGCCTAGGATGGAACACTGACAGGAAGGGGAAAAGAGATACTATAGAAGGATGAATGAATTTCAAAGCCTAACACATAACAATGAATGAGAATTTATGAGAGAGAAAGGAAGATGTAGAGGATAAATTGGAGAAATAGGAGAAAATGAGTTACAAAATCAAGGTTAGAGTTTGCCTCGGGTCACACAGATAAGAGTAGAACTGGATTTAAAACTCAGGCATTAAAAAAACAACAAAGAACGCAGGCATTTTATCGCCAAAGCCAAAGCTCTTAACCACTGACAGATAGAGAAGTTACTCAAGCAAGGTCCCTGGACAGACAAAAAGAGGGGGTATTTAAAGTATGATTTAAAATATTATGCAAGAGGGAAATAGGTCAGGATGATATAAAGTTTTAGGTTGGTGGCAGAAAGTTGAGGGACTACTCAGTCTCCTCAATATCCTTTTCCTAAAAGACCAACGATTTTCAACCTTTTTCATCTCATGGCAAACATAACTAATTACTAAAATTCCGCAGCACACCAAAATACATATTTTTTTGCCAATCCGACAAAAAATAAAAAGGTGTAATTTTGATTCGTTCACACCGGATGGCTATTGTTGTGTTGGCTGTTGTCATTTTCTTACTTGACAATCTAAGGGAAAAGAGGTCAGTGCCCTGACTAAATAGTCAGGTATTGCATGTTTTAAATTTTATTTTTTGCAGCACACCCTCAGCACACCAAAATACATATTTTTTTGCCAATCCGACAAAAAATAAAAAGGTGTAATTTTGATTCGTTCACACCGGATGGCTATTGTTGTGTTGGCTGTTGTCATTTTCTTACTTGACAATCTAAGGGAAAAGAGGTCAGTGCCCTGACTAAATAGTCAGGTATTGCATGTTTTAAATTTTATTTTTTGCAGCACACCTGTTGAAAATCGTTATCCTAGACCTATGCCTTAAATGTAAAAAGTTCCCTTCTCAGATTCTTTTCTTTTTGTTTTCCACGTGATTTTCCCCCCACGTGGTTTTAAAGAGAAAGACTTATCCTTCTTTTAAAGGAATGAAATTTCATTTCTCTCCAAGCTTAGTCTAGATAGTAACATCCTTATCAGAAAGTTTCTGAAGCACACCAAAATATGTATTTTTTGCCAATCTGACAAAAAATAAAAAGGTATAATTTTGATTCGTTCACACCGGACGGCTATTGTTGTGCTGGCTGTTGTCATTTCCTTATTTGACAATCTAAGGGAAAAGAGGTCAGTGCCCCGACTAAATAGTCAGGTATTGCATGTTTTAAATTTTATTTTATTTTTTTTTGCAGCACACCGGTTGAAAATCATTGTCCAAACCTATGCCTTAAATATAAAAAGTTCCCTTCTCAAATTCTTTTCTTTTTCTCCCCCGCACGTGGTTTTAAAGAGAAAGAAGACCTATCCTGCATTTCTATCCAAGCTGAGTCCCAGCAGTAACTTCCTTATCAGAAAGTTTCAGGTCGATGACACTCAAACCCAGGCTCAAAATTCTTACTGCCAAAGTTTTAACTTAAGGAACCTCAAGAACTCTAGAGAATAAGTTAGACTTCTACATACCAATAGGGAAATATTCCCAAGTTACACCGTGAGAGTGAAAAACAAAACAAAACACTTTGATATCGCCTCTGTAAATACCAATACATACTACCCCTGGCATTGAAAAAACATGTTGGAAAAATATACTTCAATCTATTTAATAGTGGTATTCTCTGGGGTGTGTGGTTATGGGCACTTTTCACTCTATAATTTCAAATGTTTATGCATATGAAGTAATCAGGGAGAAAAAAAGCCTTCTTGGCCATGCTAGAAGCAGATGTTCTGTCTTCTCCGCTCGACGGAGTTCCTGAACAGCGGGTCAGATTCGCTGAAGTGCTATAATAATAAATATTAGGGCTCACTAGGATTCCACAACAAATTAATCCATGCATTCGAGCCTCCTCGATCTCACACAGCTGACGAGAAACACACAGACACGCTCACACGCACATGCACGCGTTTTCCACTAAAAGTGTACTATAGGCACAAGCGGTAAAGGAGGCCATTTAAGTTAACTTCGCTCCCTCCGCCCGCCTACATTTTAGTTTTAAAAATGGAGACTCCGATTAAAAGTGTCCCGAGGGCATGAAAGCGCAGCTCTCTCCAGTCGTCTGGCCGAAGGAGAACTCGGGGCTGGAGCTGGGAAACAACTGGATTCGGCCTTGGTCCGAGGTGTGGTTTCGGGGGAGGCGAATCCCGCCAGCAACAGGCAGCGGTTAGGGCCGTTACTCACCATGTCTCGGGACGCCAAACTGGGGCTGTCGGAGCACCGAATTGAAGAGCATCTGGGCCGGGGGGGAAGGCACAACGGAGAGGAAAGTCGTCGAGATGCCACCGGTTCAGCAGAAGTCGCAACTTGGGTCCTTGAGAAGAGGACTAGTTATAGCCTCCAACTCCCGCCACTGTAAGCCCCGGCCACCAAACTCCCCGCCAAACTGACGTCACGCCCTCTGATTGGCTCTCACCGCAGCGTCCGGGCGCCGTCGATTCACTTCCCTCTACGAATCCCCGCCTCCTTTTCTCCCAGCCGCGGGAACCTGGGGTTCTGGAGCTCCCAGGGCGCCTGCGCGGGGCGGCGCTGAGGTGCTGGCGAACGGCGTGGTGACCAGGGCGCATGCGTACCACAATTTGACAGAGCGCGGAGGAAAAATCCGCGAGAAGGTGGTGGAAGAAGATGGCGGTGATGGGGCCGAGTTTGCAATATTTCTGAATAGGCTAGTCCAGTAACTATTGGGGCCATGGCGTCAAACTCAACTAAGTCTTTCTTGGCAGATGCCGGCTATGGTGAACAGGAGCTGGATGCTAACTCTGCCCTTATGGAATTAGACAAAGGTATTCAAAAGAGCGGGCTGAGCGGGTGTGATGGATGTGGGGGAAGTGGCGCCACCAGGCGGTGGTAGCCTCGGGCATGCGCGTAGCTTCCCTAGGCGGGGGGCGGGCGCCTGTGCTTTTGGTGAATTGCAGGGAAATTGCCGCGTTGCTCGATTGGCCTTGCACAAATCGAGCTCGTAGCAAGCTCTGGTGATGGGCCCGTTTTTGACCACTTGGGGGCACAGTACCCCGATTTTCCAAGCAGTTTGTTTTTTTTAATTGAAAAATTATTTTTCAGATCGTTCAGTTGAGAACAGGTTTTCACCAAAAGATGATTAATAATCGTGCACCGACTTTATAGCGATTTTTTTTTTAGTTCTGTAACTGTTACTTGCAGGTTACTGGACAGGTTAACTACAGCTGAGACCATCTGAAAACCATCCCCTGCTCCTTCTCTGCAGACAATTCTTAGAGTCCTATTTCCTTACGAGGACGGGGAGTGGGCATTTGGTGTAGTAGAACGAGCTTTGAAGTTAGATTGAGTTGAATTGCAATTGCACTGATTTATTATCATGGACAAGTCACCTAACCACCGAACCTCGGGTTTTTGTCTGCAAAGTGGGTACAGAACCATTGAGCTGACAAGATTGTGGTAAATATTAAGTGATATAAAATAGAATTTATGGAACAAAAATATACTAAGTGATATAATGGTAGGCAAAAGAAGCCTTTATTAAGTGCTAAAAAGAGATGTCTTCTTCTTAGGTATGAATATGGAAGACAAGGCCAGATATTTGTCAGTATAGAACTCAAGTATTAAAATGAAATTTTTGTTTCAATGTACTTCAAGGATTTTTATTGAATGAGGAAAGTATTTGGTTACTTGCTATATATATATATATTTCAGAGAGAGGGAGGGAGAGGGAGAGAGGGATGGAAACATCAGTGATGAGAGAGAAACATCGATTGGCTGCCTCCTGAACGCCCCACAACCCAAGCATGTGCCCTGACCAGGAATCTAGTAAATGTGACCTCCTGGCTCACAAGTCAACTAACTGAGCCACACCTGCCTGTCACAGATAATTCTTAATTAACTATAATCAATGTATAGTGTATTCAGAACCGGACTAAAGGTTAGAAGAATCTAAGTCCACTATGAACCATTTCCCAGATCTCTGACGTGGATACTCTGTTAACTTTGGGAGGACTTTTTTGTGTGAGTGTGTGTTTCTTTTTTAAACCGTAAACATTTTTAGTAGGTTGGTCTATATCAGCCCTGGGCAAACTACGGCCCGCGGGCCGGATCCGGCACGTTTGAAATTAATAAAACTAAAAAAAAAAAAAAAAGACCGTACCCTTTTATGTAATGATGTTTACTTTGAATTTATATTAGTTCACACAAACACTCCATCCATGCTTTTGTTCCGGCCCTCCGGTCCAGTTTAAGAACCCATTGTGGCCCTCGAGTCAAAAAGTTTGCCCACCCCTGGTCTAGATAGATAAGAGTTCCTCAGCCTTTAAAAAAAAAAATTTTGTTGTTGTTGGTAATCCTCACCCGAGAATAGTTTTCCAATGATCTTTAGAGAGAGTGAAAGGGCAGGGGAGAGACAGAGAGAAACATTGATGATGTGAGAGAGATATATCGATTGGTTGCCTCCTACATGCGCCCGGATTGAGCCTACAACTGAGGTATGTGCCCTTGATGGGAATCCAACCCAGGGCCCTTCAGTCTGCCGGCTGCTCTATCCACTGAGCTAAACCAACTAGGGCAGTTTCTCAGACTTTTAAAAAAGAATTTCTCAGACATTTAAGCCTTTAACTCCTTTTGATCAACAAAAAAATGTCACAGCACTCCAATTCAGTATTCTTTTGGTTGAGTCCCAGAATCTTTAGTGCATCCCCACCAGTCAAAAAATAATGTGAGCCCTAGCTGATGTGTCTCACATCAATGTTTCTCTCTCTCTCTGTCTCTCCCCCTCCCTTCCACTCTCTCTAAAAATCAATGGAAAAAATATCCTCAGGTGAGGATTAGTAACAACAAAAAAGAAAATAATGTGAGCTCTACTTTCTCTTTCCAAAGCTATAGGGCTTTTCCCCTTCTGAAGTATATTATAACACTAAGTGTTTTTTAAAAACTGTACAATCTTGGCTCTCCCTCCAGGAAGCATGCCTTTCCCTTTCCCTTCCCCATCCCTGTCCCAGGCATGTTACTGTTAGCTTTCTCACTCCCAACCTCCAAGGGACCTTCCTTCACCTCTATAGCTTGTTTCCTAAGCCCACTTTTTCTACAAATTATTTCTTCTACCTCTGTGATTTTATAGATAAATGTTTTCTTACTAAAAAAAATAAATAAATAAAAACCACATAATCTTTTCCTCCCCGTTCTGATAATTCCATGCTTATTCCCCAGGGAGAGTTGCAGGTCCAGATATATAATATTCTTACCAATTCTAAAGACATTTGCTATTTTTGCCTTATTGTAGCCACAAGTGTGTAAGCTGTTGTCTTATGTTTTTCATAGGTCTAAGATCTGGCAAACTCGGTGAACAATGTGAAGCAGTTGTTCGCTTTCCCAGGCTCTTTCAAAAGTATCCATTCCCTATTCTCATCAATTCTGCATTCCTAAAGTTAGCTGATGTTTTCAGAGTTGGGTAAGTCTTTTGAAAGCCTTGGTGTCCTAAAGCACTTTGTTCATATCTCTGTTTTATATTGTGGTCTTTATTCTTTTTGAGTTTTAGAAATTCCATATGGTTGGTTACCATTTTAATGGACACAGAGTATCTAATACCTTTTGGTGGGAGATTAGTGGTGTTTTAAGCAAAAATGAAGAGTATAAATTAGAGAGTACTTATTTCTTTGTGTAATAGGATAAATCAAATTAAGGCAACCTTGATATATTAGTACTAGAGGCCCGGTGCATGAAAATTCATGCACTGGAGGGGGGTCCCTCAGCCCGGCCTGCCCCCTCTCACAGTCTGGGAGCCCTCAGGGCTGGGAGGTGACCCGGCGATCAGGGGAAGGCGACGCCCCATCACACCTCTGCCACTGCCACTCAAGCAGCGCAAACTTCGGCCGGCCCTGGTTACCTGAGCCTCAGGCGGTCCTGGGCGGCTGGGCGGCTAGCATCCGAGGCTTGCCTGCACCTCGGGCCAGCCCTGGGCGGCTGGGGGGCTGAGGGGACTGGGGGACTCTAGAGGCAAGTGCCCTGGCGGGGCTGAGGAGACTGGGCGCCACCATCTTTGAGGGCGTGGCAGTCAATTAGCATATTCCCTCCTTATTTTCTGTGGGTGCCGCCATCTTTGAGGGCGGGGTAGTCAATTAGCATATTCCCTCCTTATTGGCTGTGGGTGCCGCCATCTTTGCGATGGCATGAGGGTCAATTAGCATATTCCCTCTTTATTAGACAGGGTATGTTTTGGAAATACCTGTGGCTTTGTACTGATTGTTCTGAGCAGTTTTGGATTTAATAGCTTATTTTATAACATGAGCTAACATGTTATTGCAAAGTGCCTGAAGCATGTAAGCACTGACTTAAAAAACCCATTTATTTTTTTTCCCCACCGTCCTTTCTCCCATTTCTTTCTACCATTCTCCAAGCTCTCATGTGCTTATGCACACACCAAATCTTGAAGGGGAAAAGATGTTGTAGAACTAGCTCTAGAGGGGAGGAAGACCATCTGACCTCTTGGCCTTGGTTATAATATGATGAGATTCAGTTCTGCTTCAGGGCTTCTCCTTGTGTCACTGCCATTTTGGTGTCTGGTGGCAGGACTGCAGGCATTGCTAACTGCTTATGCTGAATGCCCACCTAAAGTACTATAGATTTTAACTCCTAATGAGGACACAAATAATAAGATTGAAAAACATTTCCCTGTTGCTACAATTTAATATTAATAGTGTAATTTTGATTCCTAATTAAATATTACTTTCCTAAAGTGGCCTAATTTGTTCTATCCCTGGTTTTTTGTAGAAACAATTTCCTGAGGCTCTGTGTTCTTAAAGTTACTCAACAAAGTGAGAAGCATTTGGAGAAGATTCTAAATGTGGATGAATTCGTGAAGAGAATTTTCTCTGTGATTCATAGTAATGATCCTGTAGCAAGAGCCATCACACTCCGGTATACTGCATTGCTGTAATGATTCACCACAAGATTGTTTGAGTTGTAATTATGTAACCAGAAAAGGCAATATACTTACTTTTTCATTTTGATTATTAAAAATTTACTTTTGTTTTTTCAACTGAGACTCAATGCAAAAATATGGTAACTGTACTTACCTGTAAATACTTTTATTTTTCATCTATGATACTGTTTTGGTTGTATATTGTCACCTAACTTGTTTTTGAAACATTCCTTTCTGTAGGTAAATGTTCTGATCAAATAACTAGGATCTGAATGTAGCTTAGCTTCAGCTCATTTTGAACTTCCTGACCTTCTTCTTACTGTTTTGTGTTAGTTTTCTTTATTCATCCTTAGTTATGTACTCATTTTTGCATGCAATAATTTGTATTTGAACTCCTTGGAGAATGCCAGGTATAACCACTGAAGTTTCATCACCCTTTTGTTTCTTGGCACTAAAAACATTTTTTTTTAATTTTATTAGACTATTAAAAACAATTTATAAGCCTTATCTCCAGCTTGAACCATGTTCTCTTTTTAGCTCTGCTGTCTATGGAATCACTTGTATAATTATGGGATTTTTTAAAAAACTCACTTTTCTAAATTATAGGATTCATTTCTGACTTGCTCTTTTTAACCATGAAGTCTAGGATATCACTTCTTCCCTATGTTTCCATATTTTCACACCTGGAACTGGTTCTTCCCTCTTACTCATAATTAAGTGTTTTTGTCATTCATATTTTAAAGATTTTTTTTTTTACCCATTACTTTAGACTTATAAATTACAACAACAAATGGTGGAAGAAGCTGGGAGATACTCATTGCATTTGAAATGTAGTGCTACAAATTATAATATTACCAGAAATATTTCAGAAAGTAGAATCATGGGATTATGCATTTTTTGCCCTTTTATATTACATAGTAACAAACTGCTAATCAAGATATGTCAATATTAGCCTAGTCTAATCTTTTCTTGTATAAAATATTAGATTAATGGTTATTTTTTATTTACATATTTTGGGGGGAAAATTAAGTAATTTCAGAACTTTATTTTCTAATTGAAATTAAATTACCTATTTAGTCCATTTTAATATCTTGTTTCTAAGAACTCTACTACTTGTGTCCAATCGATTATATCTCTATAAGATAATTGGGAGATGATATGTCAGGTAGCAAGGTAACTTAGGACATTGACTTTGAGGAAGGTTATCATTGTAGGAACTCTGTTTTGTTTATTGAAATGTTTTACAGCCTTCTAAAATTCATGCCTTTCTGCTGAAAAAGATTTTTCAAGCTTTACTTTCTGTAGTTTATGTTACAAATAATAGGGTTGTTTTCCTTTTCTGAATTTATAATTTCATTATAGAGTGAACTGTGTTTTTTCAAATTATACGTTCCTCACCCTTGCAGATTCTGATATGGCTATCAGGGGGCATTCTCTGCATCTGTTCTTTTGATTTTGAGGATGAATTTGAAAATCATGGTACCAATATTTACTGATGTGGCTATACTTAATACCAAAAATGTTAAACTCTTAATGCTTTACTAAATTGGACTTCTCTATGCAACATTGGAAAATTGATATTTTAATGCTTTAATAATTCAAAAATTTCTTTGCTGGGCTGTGTTTGGTACCTGGGATGTACTTCAAGATTATTTTTTAAAATTTTGCTTGTATTAGATAATCCATTTAATTTTTTGACATGCTAAAATATGCAAAAGTAGTTAGATTGTCGGTCACTGCTTGTTTCCTAAAGTTAATGCTTTATTAACCTGGGATTATGGAATTACCTACAAATTTCAGTTTCGATTAACTAGCTTTGCCTTGCTTCTGACCTCAAGTGTATTGTTTTTGCGTTTCTCCTGGTTTCTCTAATTCTGTAGGATGTTGGGGAGTCTGGCATCAATAATTCCTGAGAGGAAGAATGCTCACCATAGCATTCGTCAGAGTCTGGATTCACATGATAATGTAGAAGTTGAAGCTGCTGTGTTTGCTGCTGCCAACTTTTCTGCACAGTCAAAGTAAGCATAGGCTTTTCAAACGAATCATTTGGATTCCCAAAAAGAGGTTTTGAAGGAATAACTCAGCAATATCTATAAATACTGAGCAATACAGAAAAATGTAAATGGCAAGGGATGTTTTCCAAATGGGTTTATATCACATTGAGAAGCAAAACTTAAATACATAGAACAGAAGGGTTAAGTACAAATGTTGGCATTAACTATAAATGAAATACTAAGAGTTTCCAGAAGGACAGGATCAGCACAGTAGTTGGGGAAGGCTTCATTGGGAGCAGAGCTTTGTTTCTTGAGGAGCCTCCCCTAGATGTTTATTGAAATGTTTTACAGCCTTCTAAAATTCATGCCTTTCTGCTGAAAAGATTTTTCAAGCTTTACTTTCTGTAGTTTATGTTACAAATAATAGGGTTGTTTTCCTTTTCTGAATTTATAATTTTATTATAGAGTGGACTGTGTTTTTTCAAATTATACGTTCCTCACCCTTGCAGATTCTGATATGACTATCAGGGGGCATTCTCTGCATCTGTTCTTTTGATTTTGAGGATGAATTTGAAAATCATGGTACCAATATTTACTGATGTGGCTATACTTAATACCAAAAATGTTAAACTCTTAATGCTTTACTAAATTGGACTTCTCTATGCAACATTGGAAAATTGATATTTTAATGCTTTAATAATTCAAAAATTTCTTTGCTGGGCTGTGTTTGGTACCTGGGATGTACTTCAAGATTATTTTTTAAAATTTTGCTTGTATTAGATAATCCATTTAATTTTTTGACATGCTAAAATATGCAAAAGTAGTTAGATTGTCGGTCACTGCTTGTTTCCTAAAGTTAATGCTTTATTAACCTGGGATTATGGAATTACCTACAAATTTCAGTTTCGATTAACTAGCTTTGCCTTGCTTCTGACCTCAAGTGTATTGTTTTTGCGTTTCTCCTGGTTTCTCTAATTCTGTAGGATGTTGGGGAGTCTGGCATCAATAATTCCTGAGAGGAAGAATGCTCACCATAGCATTCGTCAGAGTCTGGATTCACATGATAATGTAGAAGTTGAAGCTGCTGTGTTTGCTGCTGCCAACTTTTCTGCACAGTCAAAGTAAGCATAGGCTTTTCAAACGAATCATTTGGATTCCCAAAAAGAGGTTTTGAAGGAATAACTCAGCAATATCTATAAATACTGAGCAATACAGAAAAATGTAAATGGCAAGTGATGTTTTCCAAATGGGTTTATATCACATTGAGAAGCAAAACTTAAATACATAGAACAGAAGGGTTAAGTACAAATGTTGGCATTAACTATAAATGAAATACTAAGAGTTTCCAGAAGGACAGGATCAGCACAGTAGTTGGGGAAGGCTTCATTGGGAGCAGAGCTTTGTTTCTTGAGGAGCCTCCCCTAGAAACACACAGCCCTAATATGAAATTGCTGCTTTCTTTTTTTTTTTTTTAATATATTTACAGCTGCCTCCTGCACACCCGCTACTGGGGATGTGCCCGCAACCAAGGTACATGCCCTTGACCGGAATCGAACCTGGGACCCTTCAGTCTCCAGGCCGACGCTCTATCCAGTGAGCCAAACCGGTTAGGGCAAATTGCTGCTTTCTTACAGTCTTCTCAAATCATGGCATTAGAGCTGTACATGATTTGTCAAAGACAGTAATAACTTGAGTTAAAACCAATTTTCACCTATTTGGGAAGTCATGTTCTTACAGAACAGTTTTTTTTTTGAGCGGGGGAGGGGGTTGAAATGTTGATCGTGGTTTTATTACTGTGTTTGACTTGTTTACTTATTACTCTTTGCAAAAAGTACTAGTATATTATCCCCTCTAGTGACTGATAACAAAAGTAACATTGCTTTCTGGAGGGCATTTGATAATAAGTATTTTGCCAGATATCCCTTTGACCTAGAAAATCCACTTAGAACTAATCTTAAGAAATCAGCAATGTGTATTGATATTTATTTGCAAGGATACTAGCTGTAGTGTTAAAATAACAAAAAAATAATGTAGTAGCAACCTAAATTCCAACCAGTGTGTTTGGTAAATATGGTTGTACTATGGAATAGTACATCAACTTTTAACAACTATATTTTAGAATTGTATTTGGAAACAGATTATATAATAACTTATGTGATATTAAATTTATTTAATAAAACAACGTATATATGGAATAGAAAAAAGCTAGAAGGATACAGTATATCAAAACATTGTCTCTGGGTTGGTAATATTCTATCTAAATTTTTATTTTCCTTTTTATAAATTTCTGTCTCCTGCTATGAGCAAGTTTTTTGGTTTTATAATCAAGTGAATAATAAATGTTATTTTTTAAAATAAAAATTAGCATTTCCATTAAGAGCTTGCGCTATATTTGGGTAACTGAAATAATCAATTTTCTTTCTTCAGCTTTTAAGTATGTGCATATTCTCTTCAGCTGCTTTTTCAAACCTTTAGAAGTTTGAGATTACTCATTGGAAAAGGAAAATAGAGAATAGAAAGCATATAATTTTTAATTTACTGCTGTAAATTAGTAGGAATGGTAGTAATGGAAGAAGAGAAATATCTGAATAAATACAGTTCCTATTGGTGCTTTTGAAAATTGGCAAATGTTTTTATTATTGAGAAAATCATTGATATGGAGAGCTTTTTAAAAATTGCTTTTAATATCGTAGATATTATCTAGTGAGTTGTTAACACCTGATTAGCACTATCAAGGTCTCAGTATTTTATAATGTCAGATTAAATATAAACTTCCAGTAACTCCAAAAGTAGTTTTTTAAATGTAGTTTCTAAATGATAATCTCATCGTTGTTTCTAACTCTCTATCTCTCTCCCTTCCTCTCTGTAAAAAATCAATAAAATATATTTTTTTAAAAATTGCTTTTAATATCGGAGATATTATCTAGTGAGTTGTTAACACCTGATTAGCACTATCAAGGTCTCAGTACTTTATAATGTCAGATTAAATATAAACTTCCAGTGACTCCAAAAGTAGTTTTTTAAATGTAGTTTCTAAATGATAAGTTTATAATTTAGGGATTAGATTTTATTTTTGAGAATCATTTTTGATTCACTTTTTTCCTTCTGTTATCAGAAGGTAATTTTTTCAGCTGTGGAATTTCTGATCTGTGTTGTGAAATGATTAAGACTAACATAGAAACAGCAAGATTCTTCATTTAAAGAATTGATGACATTTAAATTAACAGTTATGTAGAAGCAGTTTTTAACATACCAGGCTTCGGTATACACTTATAATTTGTAATTCTAAAAATACCAAATTAGTTCAATAGAAAGCCTAAAGGACCTAGCTACATGTATGTGAAATTAACAAAATGTATCTTTTTAAGATTATAGTTTACCTCTTTCTCTAGAGAAAGATGACCTGGCGGAAGATCAGATATCTCAACTAATATGATGTATTTTTATCTTAGTATTTCAATTTACCAATTTTGGATCTTAAATAAATAAGAGTAACTGGCCAAATAAGACCTTGAGAATTTAATTCTATTCTCCCCCTGTCTACTACCATAACCACATCTGACTTGTTCTCAAAAAGGTTAAGATTTATACTTTTAAAGAGCTAGTCCAAGTCATAAAACAGGAGTTGCACTCAAGCCCAATCGCTTTCAGGGGCCCGGGGAGCATTGTCAATGAGAGAAGTGCCCTCTAGTGGCAACTGTGGTGAACTTAGTTGCACTCAGTTGAGAAAATGTCTTCTAATCTCTCAAGCCAACTCTTAAGTATAAGAAAAATAATTTGCAAATGAAGTTTATTTTAGAATTAAACATTCTAAATTCTAAAACAAAAGCGATTTTATTTTTAAAAAATATATTGTTATTGACAAAAGCAATTTTATAAAAACCTTTCAAAATTTTACTGGAAAGCACAACAAAGTATAATTCTTGATATGTTTCTGCATAGACATAAGGAAAAGTTCAAGATTTCAGAATTATGATATACTGAATGATAATATGGTTACAGAGATAATGCATGTAGTTAAGAGAGTAAGAGCACAATAGAATAATTGAGAACAAACTGAATTAATCTCAGAAAACACAATTATACACTAAACTACCAGAGAAAATTCTAGAAAACAAATGAATATACAATCATGCAGTCCATTAGTTGTCAATAGATGATACCATATATTATGTAGCCTCTGAAAAACTCTACTGTTCACTTGTGAGAATGAAATTTTTTAATCTTAATAGCAGGAAATATTTTATTTAGACATCCATTGAATTAGTTTAGAGGAGAAGTAGTTTATGTCTTATGTATCATTTATTATGGCTAAATAAGCCAGGTTTGAACCTATTACTCTATCATGTTTCTTTATATATTATATTTTATCTTATATTCATGTTATTAATACTTTTGCAACATTCTGTGAATCAAAAGCAGCACCTTATAAAATACTTAACACATACATAATGCTAAAAATACATGGCTAACTTTAGTTTGGCTTTTATAGTAAGAGTCTATTCGTATTTCCTACGGTATTTCTATTTGTTTTTCTAAAATTCAGAATATTAGAAATAGTTTTTATTGCTTATGTAATCAGCTTGTGTATTAAGAGCTTTTCTTAATGTAAAATAGATCCTAAAACATAATAGACTGAGTGGCCTTGAATCTTTCAGACAGTATCACTCAGTGATGCGAATTGCAACAGCACTCGTAAATCAGAGCATCTTTCCTTGAATACCAAGTGAGAACAGTGTTGGCAGGACCCCCTTTGCTGGTTAGAGTTTTGGTTTCAGTTTCATTTCTTACCCCACCCCCAGCACCTGACCTTTGGAATATTAGTTATATTTTGGAGTACGTGTTGGCATTTCTCCTGTGTTGATTGTGTTGTCTTTTAAGTCCTTAGAAAAGCTTAATTTAATTATTTGGTTTTAAATTTTTTTCTGTTCTCTCTTTCCAAAGGGATTTTGCTGTGGGAATCTGTAACAAAATCAGTGAAATGATTCAAGGTGTGTATGTTTTATTTAGTATTATGAAGTGACTTGACTTAATGGGATTTACTAGTATATTAAAAATAGCTGCTAACATTTATTAAGTACTTATTATGTGCTAGTCACTAGTCATTCATTTATTCATTCAAATAATACTTATTAAGTATCTTCTAAATGCCAGAACTGTTCTAGGTGCTTAGGATACCATAGTGAATAAAACAAAGTCCATGCCCTCACATAAACCTGCATTCTAGTGGTGGAAGGAGGAGGGGTGGCAATAGACAAATAAAAATATGACATACTCAGTGCTACGGAGAAAAAGTAGCACTGAGTATGTGTGTGTATATATAGATGCTTTTTAGTATGCTATGAGAAGAAATAGGCAGCAAAATGACTGCTTTCCACTGTGCCTTTTAAAAGCATTTTCTATTGGATGTAGTTTTATAGTCACTGAAAAATTAATGTTAAGATAAATACTTTTGGGAAAAACTATTGCACTGATGAATTATCTCTCATAATTATCTTTAATGTTATAAACATAATATTAGTACACTATTTGTTTTTAAATGGATTTTGTGCCGATTCAGACCTTTTAAATGTGAACTGTTATCAAGGATGATGGTCAGAAATCTTAAGAATCCTTTTTGCATCTAGGCTTAGCCACACCAGTCGACCTGAAGCTGAAGTTAATCCCAATCCTGCAGCACATGCACCATGATGCCATCCTGGCCTCCAGCGCTCGTCAGCTTCTACAGCAGCTAGTCACATCCTATCCTTCCACCAAAATGGTGATTGTTTCTCTGCACACGTTTACTCTGCTGGCAGCTTCATCTTTGGTGGATACACCTAAGCAGGTGATTTCAGTTTTCTTTAAACTGTCTTTTCTTCACTAAATTTGCATATTAAATATATGATAAAAAAAATAAGTAACCCATAAATTTTAATGTTATTAAGATTCTCTTTCTCTAATAAAGATCTGTTTAATTACCTTTTGCTTATTTTTTCCTTCTCTGTATTCACAATACTAATTTTGGGGATCTCTTGAGGAACTGAGGTAGAGGTGGGTACATGGCAGAGCATGGAGCATAAAGAAAAGAAAGGATTGAGTGTTAAAGGCCAGGTGCTGTGCTGGAACTGTACAAGTTAAATGATGGTATCATTTTATACACAAACAGAAAGAGGCGTAAACTGCCGGGGTTCTTGTTCCAGCATTAAGAAGGGTTCAGCAATCTGGAAAAGGGGCTGGTGTAACTTAAGTAAGAGTCCAGAGAGGAAGCATAATTTTGAAAGGCATTTGGGAGTCAGAGGAGCCTAGTTAAAGAAACTAAGATCCCTTCCTCTCAGGATCCCATGCTTTTTATTAACACAAATTGTCCTGAGGCGAGGTGGAGATATACACTTCAAAGGGTCAGGGTATACAGAGTTCATTGTCGGAATGGGGAGAATTAGCCAACAGCTGTTCAGGTGTTTGGCAAGTAGGAGGCAATAACATGTAGATTAAGATGCCCTGAGCTGTCTGGCAGCAAACAATCATCCTTTTCAGGTTTGGGGAAATGCCCTCAGCCATTCCCAACAGGTGACAACATATGTGACTCAGCCCTTGTTGAGTCCCCAAGTTCCATCAGCCTTTTGATGAAACTTGTAATTATGACATGCTGGAATTGGCTTCCGGCACTAAACATGGGCACATAGCTGGTAAATGACAGAGCTGCAATTTGAAATGAGTCCTGTCTCAAATCTAAAAGTTTTGCTAAACTACATTGCATCCATAAAGATAGTTTCAGTGACAGTATTGTTAACTGAGTGACTTTCTTTTATAGATCCAGCTTCTCTTACAGTATTTGAAGAATGACCCCAGAAAAGCAGTAAAGAGACTTGCTATTCAAGATCTGAAATTACTTGCCAATAAAACACCACACACTTGGAGTAGGGAAAACATTCAGGTATGTTTGAACATTAATAACTTTGAACATTAATAATTTATATAGAAAAATAATATAATACCATAAACATTGTTTTGCTTTACATTTTTATATCATCTTTGTCATGTTCTAAGTGTATGAATATGAAAAATTCCTAAGAGTATTGTTGAATTCACAGAAGTTATTTTATAAGTGGCAGAATAAATACATAAAACTTCTGTTATTTAAAGTTTGTTTTAGTGAATTAAACTTGCCTCTCAGTTTCTTATTAATTTTTCCATAAGCAGCACTAAGGCTAGTTGAGAAGCCCAATTAAATTGTTTATTGCATTCTTGTCTTCTTTAGTCAATTTAGAAGAAGAATTTTGGTGGGCATCACTCATGGCTCACTAGGCGTCAGAGCCAACTCAACGGTACATAATACACATCAGTTTATAGGTGATATATAAAGGCATGAGACTGGATGAGTCACTTTGGGAGAGAGTATATAGACTGACGAGACTTAGGAAGTGATAAAAAAGAACCAGCAAAGGAGCCTGATTAGAAACACGATTGTTTTACAGGAAGAGGGCTGTCATCATCCATGTGAGACACTGCACTATATTCTCCAAGATGAGGACTGATAATTCACGTGTGCACTTAGCAATAGGAAATCTTTAATGTCCCAAGTCTTCCCTCAAGTCCACTCTGCAGGGTGATCACCATTGCTAGTTTCTTATGTGTTCTTACTGAATTTTTCACCCAGATGCAAGGATGTGTATTTTTCTTTTTTCTATACGTATGAAAATACACAATATGCATGTTCTGAACCTCTTAAAACTTAACAGTGCACCGTGGGGGAACTTTTCATATAAGCAGGTAGTTCTGCATTCTTTTACCAGCTGTGTGATGCTCCCGTTGTATTCCCAGTTCTCCACTGAGGACATTAGTTTCCAGTACTTTTACTGTTATTGTTTACGTTGCTACATTGACTAGTTTGTAAAAACACAAACAAAAAAATCACCTTTGTGGACATATATTTCTAAAAGAAGAATTTGGAGGTCTAATGATACACACATTTAAATTTTTGAGATTTATTCCCACAATGAAGTTTACACCATGTTATGCTTCTGTCAATAGGGTATAACTATGCCTATTTCCCCACACTGTTTTCAGTGCTGTGTATCATTAAATTTAATCTTGGCCAATCTGGCCGGTGTAAAGCAACTCTTATTTTAATTTACATTTTCAGATTATAAGTGAGGTTCAACATCTTATATTTAAAAGTGATTTGTTTAATATCTATGAAGTACTGACTTTTCTATTGGATTTTTTGCCTACTTATTACTAATAACTTTTTATGTATTAAGTTATTGGGCCTTAATGATATAAATGATATAAATACTTTTTCCAGTTTTATCAATTGTCTTTTTGTTTTTTATTTTCCCATGTCAACTCTTCGTGCTTTTTGTAGTTTTTAACTTTAAAAATATATGTGATTTAAGACAGGAAGGGAAATGGAGAAAGAGATAGAAACATCAATGATAAGATAGCATCATTGATCAGCTGCCTCCTGCACGTGCACCTCACTGGGGCCCCTCACTGAGCTCACAACCCAGGCATGTACCCTGACCGGGAATTGAACTGTGACCTCCTGTTTATAGGTCGATGCTCCCCCATTGAGCCACACCAGCTGGGCTTTTCTTTTTTTTTTTTTTTTTTTTTTTTTTTTAATTTGCCATAAAAAAGAAATAAGGATCTAGTTTGATTTACTGAGATGACTGGGCATTTCTACTTTGTTTATTGAATAGTCCCTTTGATTTGAAATGCCATTATCGTGTATTAAATTCTAGTGTGTATTTGAATCTGTTTCTGGGAAGGTCTCTTTAATTGATTTCTGTGTTCATGAGTAGGAAAAAAACATTTTATTTGTATGGATTTATTATATATTTTAATATTTAATAGGGCTTGTTTTTTAGGTCCCTCGTTATACTTTGTCAGAATTTTTCTGGATCTTTAGAAGCAGATTATCCACCTCCACTCCCCAATTTTGTCAGTGTTTTTATTTGGGTCATATTACATTTATTGTTTAATTTAACTTTTCTGAAATTTTATTTTTAATTTTCCCCCTCATCTTTAAGTTTTATTCACTTTCTGAAACTTTGTGAGAGAATGGCAATTAGTTCAGTTTAATAGGTAATTAGCTCTTTGACCATTTATATCACGTGCAGTCTTGTCAGAGTTCTGAGAGTAAATATACAGAATGAGGCTGAGCATATGTTTATAGCTCACTGCATTGAAAGAAAACTAGCATCTTGTTTTGGGTAACACTTCAGACCACCTGAGTCAGGAGCAGAGTAGAGGAAATGTCCTGAAATGGGAGGAGGGTAGAGAGCTCACTCATAAACTAGATAGGATGTCACACTCTCTACTATTTTAAAAAATACATACATATGTGAACTGCTATTCATATCTCTTAGGTAAACAAAATACGGTGGATGTTCTGCTTGTGAAGACTAAACAGTAAACATTATTACTTTCTAAGAAATAGTCTTTATGTTTTAGAACAGGTATGGATTTACAGAAAAATGGAGACGGTAGTACAGAGGATTTCTACACACCCCATACCCACTTCCCTGTTATTGATATTTTATATGAATGTGGTACATTTGTTAGAATTTACCAGTATTGATACATTATCATTATTTTTTTTTAATATATTTTATTGATTTTTCACAGAGAGGAAGGGAGAGAGATAGAGAGTTAGAAACATCGATGAGAGAGAAACATCGACCAGCTGCCTCCTGCACATCTCCTACTGGGGATATGCCCGCAACCAAGGTACATGCCCTTGACCGGAATCGAACCTGGGACCTTTCAGTCCGCAGGCCGACGCTCTATCCACTGAGCCAAACCGGTTTCGGCACATTATCATTATTAACCAAGCTTCATACTTTATTCAGGTTTCTTTAATTTTTACCTTTTGTCCTTTTTCTGATCCACGATCCCACCCAAGATAATGCATTATATTTAGTTAACATGCCTCCTTAGGCTCCTCTTGGCTGTGGCAGTTTGACTTAAGTTTTTTATAATGGAAAAAAGACATTAATACATCATTTTTCAAAAAGCTAGAAAATTTAAAATGAGTAGACAGTTGTAAAGTATATTGAAACTAGCATCTTGTGTTTTGTGTTCCTTTTCGTCTGCGTTTCAGGCCCTCTGTGAATGTGCCCTCCAGACTCCTTATGACAGCTTGAAGCTGGGGATGTTGTCTGTCCTGTCCACACTCTCAGGGACCATTGCTGTCAAGCACTATTTCAGCATAGCTTCAGGTAAGGAGAAGATATATGGGTGGTGTGCTAGTCCCTTGATTCATGTTGATGTTTCAGGTGGTTTCCTTTATCAAGCTTTAGATTCAGGAAAGATTTCAGTCTCCTGCCTTGTTATATGGTAGTAATTTATTTGAAAATTATTTCTCAACTACTGCCTCTGGTAATAAAATCTTGCATCCTTGATCTTAACTCAAGGATATTGTTTTTCTATATTTGTTCTTTTTTGAATTATATGTGGGTGCAACAGTATTTATGAGGATGCTTAATATAGCTGGCTTGCTTTTGTATGTCTGTGACTCCAAGTGCCCTTTGAATTTAAGTACATTTCAAAGGCCAAGTGATGGTGAATTTTAAAAGCAAATGTCATGCTACCTTTTAGGTGTATGTTATCACTGTGGAAAATGATTAAAATAAAACTTTACCCCAATTCAGTAGTGCTTTCCTGGTTGCCTCATTCAAGATGAATTAACTCCACAACACCTTAAATAATGCCCCGTGAGGAGTTTACTTACCTAACAGACTTCAGGCTAAAGTGTTTCCTTGTTTTGTTTTAATGCAAATTTTGTGGAATCTTTATTGCTTCCTTTTGTAGTCAATTAATTTGAATTGAATTAATCAAAGAACTATAATGTACATTGTTCCTTTTTATGGTTTCACTGCATATGGACTTTCTGGGTAAAGAGAATTTCCTGACACATAAGTCCTGATAGGAAGCTGAAAAGACCTGATATTCTATTGCCAAGCCTTCCTGCCACTAGGGTGCACACATGTGCCCTGGACTTACTAGTTATTTGCATACCAAGGAGTTGTGATGTGGAAGAATCCATTCTGGTATTATAGCAATGACCACAGCAACATCTGGTTTCCAGGGTACACTGTAGCAGTGGTTGTTTGCTATGTCTTGTACCTTTGGCAGCAGTGTAAGCTGTGACATCCAGATGTCAGTAACAGTGGCATTGATGTCTTCACTGGAACTAATTCCATGGATAGTTTGGGCTGTGATCTTGGTTGGTCTCTCGCCTCGCCTTTTTTCCAAGCTTAGTTTTCCAGTCTTTCCAGTAATTTTTGTGAGGTGCTCTGTATCAGTTATCTGTTGCTACAGAACAGATCACCTCAAAACATAGTGGCCTAAAGCCATGACCATCTCATTTGCTCTGCATCTGCAAGTCAGTAATTTTGACTGGTCTCAGCTGGGAAGTTCTGCTGGTCTCACTTTAGCTCACTCATACGACTGCAGTCATCTGGAGCCTTGATCAGACTGGATGGTCTACGATGGCCTCATTCACCTGCTAGAGGTTGAATGGCTTTTAGCTGAGGCACCTTGGTTCTCTCCACCTTGTGACTCTCGGCAGGCTTGCTTGGGCTATGTCATGTTCTCAGGATTATAGCAGCAGCCAAAAGAAGGCAAAACAACACACAACCACTTTTTAGCCTTTTGCTTACACATATTTTTTAATATCTCATTGGCCAAAGCAAGTCACATGGCCAAGCCCAAATAGGTGGAGAAATAAACACCTCTTGATGTGAGGAATTGGAAGATTATATTGCAATGGTGCACACCTACAAGGGCTAGGAGAGATTGTCACAGTCTCTTTATCAACAATCTGCACAAGTCAACCAATCTCAATTTCTTAGCTTACAGTTATTTAATATTTTTGATTGACATCACACTATGAAAGAGCTGCAAGACAGAATATTAATCGCATCTTATAATTTGTAAGAGCCTTTCCATACAAGGTCTCATTGCTTCTGTAGTGAGGCACATGCAAGGGAGTTTGTATGTTTTGAAACTGTGGCTTAAAATGTTTTGATATGTTCACAGTCACATGCTTATGAAGTGCTTCAGCCTAGGCTTGAGCCTAGGGATTCTGACTTAGGATTCTTTTTTATAGTAAACGGATCTGATGCAAGATGACTTTCTTTTTCTTTCTTTTTTAATTCCAAAGACATTTTGTAAGCATTGTGTCAGGTTATAATAATCAAGCATTTTTCATGCTAGATGTTTTGTCTTTTTATTGAATTTTATTAAATTGCAGGCTATATGTGCAATTAAACAAAAGGCTTAAGTAACTAGACTAGGTAATGTTCACATGAAATAAAAGTCTGTACTACTTTTCTCTGCTTGTTTAGGAAATGTGGGTTCTTCTCCCAGATCCTCTGATTTAGTCAAATTAGCCCAAGAGTGCTGTTACCATAATAACAGAGGCATTGCAGCTCATGGGGTCAGAGTCCTGACTAATATAACCGTCTCTTGTCAAGAAAAAGGTAAGCTTGATCAGAACCGATATGTACACATTTTTGGATTGAAGCTTGGGCAGATTTCTGTATGTGTTTGGTTTTTAAATCCCTTATTATTTTTAACCAGTGTGCTTAGATCTACTAGTTGCCTCCTTCTGAAGGATTCTTAGAGCAAGTTTTCTCAAAACTACTTAATCCTTCAAAATAGTTTTTAAGATACGAGGACCTTGGAATTGAGATTGTGGAATTGAATGGTTGTGTGGACTATTTCCTATTTCCTTCCACTGTTTACCTTTACACATATGGTTCTGTGGATAGGGACTGCTTATGACTGATTACCCTTAGTATAAAGCAATTTGTTCAGCTATATAAAAATCTGGAAAATTTAGGTAAAAATATCTTAAGTTATCAAGAGGCTTAATTAACAAATAGTTTCATCTAGAGGCAAGTGAATTAACAGAGCAATGTGAATTAAATTTTCATAGAATTTATTTCTAGGTATCTAGAGCATTAAACTGATTTGTATAATTAAAAAAGGCATGCATAGAAAATAATGCATATATTTTATTGTATTCCTAATAACTTTTGACCAAAAGGCTTGGAGAAGTTTAGACTGGTGTTCAAAAACAGGAAATGCATTTTGGACATTCCACCTGTTTCAGTGTTTGTTTTAATCTTTACTAAGGATCATAAGCTTAGTGCCTTCACTGCTTGTTCCTGGTACTGACTTTTTTATAATACCCTAACCTTCACCAGCCTTCACACTCTTTGCCAAGCCCTACACTAACTCAGGAGACATTTCTTTAAGTTATTTATATTGATTCCGATTTGAATACTTAAACCTGTTTTATTTTTGGCATAGTAATGATTATTTTCTAACATGTAACATAGAAAACTGCAATATGTTCTTAAAGCTGACATATATTAACCTAAATATAGTTAGCTAATGTATTCAGAACTTTCTAGAACCTCCGGAGAAATTTTAGCTCTAAGGTAGTGAAAATTGCTGAAAAACTGCTATTACATTAGACATATAAGGGATTTGTTCTTTATGGTCCAACTTAAAACATTAATATGATTATGTGGGGTCCTCATTACTTTCTAAAAGTGGCTCAGTGCCCTGGCCGGGTGCTCAGTGGTTAGAATGCCGGCCTACAGGTCGCAGGTTTGATTCCCAGTCAAGGTCATGTACATTGGATGCAGAAAAATAATAAATAAATAAATAAGTGGTTCAGCTTTCATTAGGAGCTGAAAATTGTAACATTCTATAATGTATCTGCATAATTTATATCTGATTAGAAAGTTTAACACATACTACATGGTTTGCTTTCCCTAGTATTTTCCTCAGCTAATCTGGTGACAGTATTTCAGTTATGAGTTATGTAAACCTTTGTGTCTTTAGCTTTTAATTTAATGTGTATATTTTTATAGCCTTCTATAAAGTAATAAAAATACAGAAGGCTGAAAATAGCCTTTACATTTCAGAAATATTGCCAGATTACTTTTTCAGGAAGGTTAGCTTTGCTTATTGAGGTATTTCCTGTATCTTAGCTTCCTTGATGTTTTTCATGGGTGTGTGTGTGTATTTAATCTTTGCTACTTGACTACTATAACACTTAGTGTTTTTCCTCTAGACCTATTAGCACTGGAACAAGATGCTGTTTTTGGCCTGGAATCCCTTCTGGTACTTTGTAGTCAAGATGATAGTCCAGGTGCTCAAGCCACTTTAAAGGTGAAAACATCACTTATTTTAATATAATGCTATTTTCATTGCCTAAGCTAGGAATTGATAATTTCGCTATAAAAGGTGAGATAGTAAATACATTTTGCAGGTTATACACTCTATACACTCTTTGTTCCAACTACTCATTTCTACCTTTGTAGAACAGAGAGCCATGGACATTATGTACAAAAAAGGGTGTGTGTTATTTCCAAAAAAACAAACCAGGAGTTGGCCCCAGGACAATAGTTCAGTGATTTTCAACCTTTTTCATCTAATGACACATACAAACTAATTACTAAAATTCTGCAGCACACCAAAGAATATATTTTTTGCCAATCTGACACAAAAAAAGGCATAATATTGATTCATTCATACTGTACAGCTATTTTTTCTGTTGGCTGTTATCATTTTTTTTTATTTGACAATCTAAGGAAAAGAGATCAGTGTTCCTGACTAAATATTCAGGTATTGCATGTTTTAAAAATTCCACACCATACTGGTTGAAAATCGCTGCAATAGTTTATATTAACTCCTGGCTTAAAGGAACATTTTCCTTGGTCTTCGTTCTCAAAATTGACATTTTGACCATTGATGTTTCAAAAGATAGAGAAAATAAAAACCTGAGCTTTGATCTGGTTTGCCATCGTTGACAGTATTTATTAAGTTGTAGTAGATACATATACTAGTAATGGTCCCAGACAGTGTAAAGCAAAGTTAAATAGAGCTCCTGCACTCTTCAAAATTTATAATCTGAGGTAACACTGATAAGATCACAAAAAGCTGATTAAATAACTGCAGCCAAACTCTTTATACATAGGTTTGTATTAATTTCCCGAGTATAGACACCCTAACTTTTAAGCAAAGTGAGGAACTATGGAAAATTTCACTTTCACTTAATTATAGAAATTATATTAGATATATTTAAGATTTTAAAAATGTGAAATGAGACTCCTCTTTTTGGAGTAAAACATGAAATGTAATTTGTGATGGTACAAAATAATTAAGAAAAGCAGGGTTAGTAGCAGCAAAAGGCTATTAGGTAGACATTGGAGAATATAAGATTTATAGCTTGTCTGAGGTATGGTTTGAGGGTATAAAGATATTAGTACAATTATGTAAAAGCTGATAATCAAGAAGTGTTCATGTAAAGGAAGTAAGCAACCTGTGTTCCACAAGTGACTCATCCCAAATCCCTTTGAAACCACAATATGTAAAAGTTTGTGTGTGTGTTTTTAAAGAAGAAAACCAAATTATTTTTCCTCTAAGTGTGGATGTCAGTAAAACATTAGCCTCATAGATGGTCAAGAACAGTTCCCATGTTAAAGGCGCGTCCCATTTAGAGGATACTGACATTTATATGGTTGCCGGTTAGATTCTCAGTCAGGGCACATTCCCGACTTGCATACTTGATCCCCAATAGGGAGCATGCAGGAGGCAGCTAATCAGTGTTTCGCTCTCACATCAATGTTTCTCTTTCTCTCTCCCTCTCTCTTTAAAAAATCAATTTAAAAACTTAAAAAAAAAAAAGAGGTAGATGTTAGAGACTTGACAAAAGTGGAAATTACTGGATTTAGTGATCAGTTGGCTCTATAACAGTGAGAGGACTTCTGGGCTTCTAATTTTGATTACTGAATGTTAGTGATGCCCTGAATAGATGTTACTAACTGCCCTGAATAGAAGCTCTACAGCCAGTTGGTTTTTGTTTCACCTCAGAAATAAGAGAAAATTAGAAGCCTCTTCTTCCTTCAGTGTGCTTAAGAGTGACCTAGGGTATGTGCACACACAGTTAATCCACTAAGTTTGGGATGGGTAGGACCCAGGAATCTATATGTTTAGCAGCATAGGAAGATGATGGCATTGATGAATTTTCAAACCACATTTTAGAGGCATTTCTTATAAGTAATGAAAGTACAGAAATGATGACATTCCGTTTGGCGTATATTTTGCCTCCTCAGCATTGCTTTTGGGAACAAATACAATATTTGTATTTGCATGTGGCCCGCGGGCCGTAGTTTGATGACCCCTATGTGCACACACAGTTAATCCACTAAGTTTGGGATGGGTAGGACCCAGGAATCTATATGTTTAGCAGCATAGGAAGATGATGGCATTGATGAATTTTCAAACCACATTTTAGAGGCATTTCTTATAAGTAATGAAAGTACAGAAATGATGACATTCCGTTTGGCGTATATTTTGCCTCCTCAGCATTGCTTTTTATGATTTTCATCTCATTTTTTTAATAGTCTTAGATTGCAATAAGTGATTAATGTGCAGTCCTGACTTGTTATTTGGTATTAAACATGGTACATTTTGCATATCCTAACATGGGATCCATTATGTCATGTGTTTCTTATGAAGAAAAATGTTATGCCTACAAAAAAACACCTTTTCCTTGATTTTCCCCAGTAACTTATACAAAGTTCTTTTCTTTAAAGCTTTACTTAATACCTTCAAAGTGTAAGTGGTCTATTTTGTTTTCAATGTGCAGATTGCTCTGAAGTGTATGGTGAAGTTGGCCAAGGGCAGACCCCATCTTAGCCAGTCCGTGGTTGAGACCCTGTTGACTCAGTTGCATAGTGCTCAGGACGCTGCCCGGATCCTCATGTGCCATTGCCTGGCCGCCATTGCCATGCAGCTGCCAGTGCTGGGCGATGGAATGCTGGGCGACCTCATGGAGCTCTACAAGGTTATCGGACGATCAGCCACGGACAAGCAGCAGGAACTTCTGGTAAAGAGTCACCTTTTGATGGTGAATAAGATCTGGTCTAGTGAGAATTACTTTAAGTAGTTAACTTTACTGTTGGACTTTACTTACAAAGCAAAACAAACAACAGTTTAAAGTAATTATCTAAGACCAAGGGAATGCTGAAGTCAAAATAGAATTGGAACCACGAGCTTTTTACGATTTCTACTTTTGATTTAGAAAGTCCTATTTAGTTCAGATCTAAAACTTGTTCTTCCTACGCCCTGTCAAGTCAGCTTAGTGTAGCCAAAGCCTTCAATTTGATGTGCTTGTTCTATTACAAAGGACAAAATGATAATGGATTTTTCTTTTTTATACAAAGCAAATAATGAACTAAACCCTGTTTTGTACTTCCAAAAATGTAAGTTAAAGACCTGATGATAACAGCAACCATAGATTAGCACAGATTCCTCTTTTCCAACCCAGGATTTCTGTAGCTGTTTAGGATCCAATTTAGGTTTCAGTGTAATCCTGGGGTTGGGAAAGGTGTGTGCTTGTTAAAAAACAGAAGCCATGGAAGTGATCATAATGTTTAGCTGAAAGTTCTACCAGGCTGAGAGTAGGCTACATGCTAAATAGGCATAAATTAGATGTAAGCCTTAAGTTGGCCACTCCATATTGTTTCTGGTCATCTGAATTTAGGAATTGGGAAAAGCTTAATGAAATTGCTTACTCAAGCCTATTTTATATTTAATCCTCCAGGACAGCAGTCATCAACCTTTCAGACCTCATGGACCACCAGTGGTCC